TGATGTCAAGCAAACGATAATCAGCGCTTTTTCTTTTAGATTAAAACGCACCTACACGGAACCAGATGATGCGATGATTCATTCAGTTTCAGGTAATCTAAGTCCAATAACAACAAAAGCTAGAGGAAGTTTGGAGTCAGCCTCATCACAATTGGTCGATTTACCAATGAATCTTTTTGATAAACAGAATCGGATTGTGGAAAGTCAATCATCCGACGGGAAAAAAGTATAAAATATCAACGGTATCAATTTTTTTGATCATCAAAAAAAGATACTTCTGATCACCAAACGTCTCTAGATACAAATTATCACCAAAGAAAGATACTTTTGATCACCAAATTTTCCAGCAAGCATCTCACATTTTGTTTCTCAACAATTTCTAATGTACAACACAAGTATATTCATTGCGATTTTAACCAAATGAACAATATTTTTACAGTTTTATTTATATTTATTTAAATTATTCAAAGCTGTGCTAACTTGCTTGGGACGCCCTTTTGCCTTTCGTTTGCACAGTGGTTGAATACGTGTTTTATTGCTAACTTGATACAAGTTAAATAAAATTGCTAATCCAACAGAATGTTTACACGAATTTACTAATAATGGTGCAACAAGCCAACAGGATTGTTGCCATACCAGAAAAACATTTAATATACGCCACCGACGAGAACGTTAGATACCTAGCCAATCAATAGTCCTCTGGTGTGGCAACAATCCTGTTGGCTTGTTGCACCATTATTAGTAAATTCGTGTAAACATTCTGTTGGATTAGCAATTTTATTTGACTTGTATCAAGTTAGCAATAAAACACGTATTCAACCACTGTGCAAACGAAAGGCAAAAGGGCGTCCCAAGCAAGTTAGCACAGCTTTGAATAATTTAAATAAATATAAGTAAAACTGTAAAAATATTGTTCATTTGGTTAAAATCGCAATGAATATACTTGTGTTGTACATTAGAAATTGTTGAGAAACAAAATGTGAGATGCTTGCTGAAAAATTTGTATCTAGAGACGTTTGGTGATCTTACTCAGATATCAAGTGAAAGTATTCTGTAATTAGTGTACGATCCGTTTGTGTAGATGATTGTTGATCGAACCACGTGGGTAAAAAAAGCCTATGAGAATATGCCAACGATTTATCGCCTAGATGCACAATTATTGATCCCATTGTAAGTTGTAAGAGCGATACGACGTATGTACGGTGAGATTCTAAGTAATTATTGTTTGAAAAATAGAAATCCAATGGGTAGGACTGGTTGTCGTGGTCGTGGTGCTCTCATTCGTTGGGGACCAAATAAAACCATCATGGTTATAATAACAAGATGGAAAAAATTTCATGGACAATTCGTCATTGCTGATGGTCAAAGAATGCTGGAAGTAATGGTGTTCAAAGATAAATTGACGGGTCATTGGATATTGCCAGGCGTATGTCAATTAATCTCTCAGGTTGTTACGAACACTACGTCTAATAACGTTTTAGGGAAAAATTTTGGGTATTGAATCACCGTATGGCACTGTTTGTAGAACTTTTAACAAATTAGCATTTCAAGATGAAGAATCTGAATATAGTTTATCATTACAAGAAAAAGATATGATCGACGTAATTATCGATTTTTTGAGATTGTATCGATATTTATCTTGCTTTTTTCTAGTATTTTTCATCATTCGCAAAGAAAGTTGACGGCAGACAGAAAAACAAATCAGCATTTGAGTCATACATGGTATATCGAGGTATGGCAGTAGACTTATATTGAAAATAATAACCATACACAGTGACTTGCACAAAATGATTGCATACATAATTTTTAGTAACGTTTTCTCTGGTTAAATTCATTTCTGGTGGTTCTGCAATGGTATATTTTAATAATATTTTCATTCACATCCAGAAGAAAAATGTAAGTAATGTGCGATAACATTAGCAGCCTCAGAGATAATGATGTTATGGAACACAGATGTCAGATGAACTATTATCATCCATTGTAGAAACTGAATGCGACTACCGGACAGTGTATTTTACATCAGAAATTAGAGAAGAATTTTTGAGCGGCGACAACAAACTAACTCTTCTTCAATGTGGTCGAAAAACTATGTACGACCACAAATGGTCATAGTGGGAAAAGCCATTTGCAATTGTTTTGAACAGTTCTGATTTGGAATAAGCGAAGAAAACTGATAAACACCCGCTAAAAATAACAATTATTGAGATGGAGTTGAAATAAAAAGTCGACTTTCTTAGCGCTCAAGAGATTCTTTTTAAACTGTGTGCTCAAGTGTTTTGTTTCAGCTAAGTTTATATTTTGACTGAACGGAGTGTTCAGTCAAATAGTTTCACTGGTATTAGCCATACGTGACGACTTTACGTGATATTGCTAGTAACGCTGATGACGTTATTTTTTCAATACTTCCAACAAATTTTTTATACATTAACAAATAGGCAGTCAGCATAATGAAAGTTACAACATATCAAACAATACTTTATTCTACAAAATCTATCGGTTTCTTACTAAACTCATCAGCGTTAGTAGCAACGTCACGTAAATCGAAACATATATGATTAATATCAGTGGAAATATCAAATGAAGACACACCGTTGAATCGAAATATAAACTTAGCTCATATAAAAAGCTTGAGCGCACAGTTTGAAAAGAATCTGTTGGGTGCTAAGAAAATCGACTTTTTATTTCAACTGCATATGTTATCATACATTTCTTGTATTTTTCTTCTGCAAATGAATGAAAATAATATTAAAATATCCCATCGTGAAGTACTTTTTATGAATCATATAATCATACGAGAACGATACGATGATGGATGAAGTCAGCAAGAACGGCAGTAAAAATTATGCGTGAAACTGATTTTGCAAACCACGGTACATAATGAACTATTTTTAAGGGTATATCGATGATATCCGGAACACAGATAATGCTTGGGTTGAAGCTGAAGTATGGAATTTTCACTATGGGACGTCGATTCAGTTTCCAGACTTAAGAACGGATGTAAATACCTCTCAATACTCTAATGTGATTAGTTACTAACTTCTTTAATAGGCATGTGTTATTTTAGGGCGTGATTATATGGAAAGATGTCACATATAATTCGCAGGGTTTTATTATGCAAATGTCGATCTTAAGAGAAATAGCACGAATACATGATGCCTATTTTGAATGAGAGCTACATATACTTTAACAACTATCATTTATTATCGCAGCTCATCAGCCAAGAGCTAGACTCACAGTTTGGAGCTTTAATTTTAGAACTACCATTTTATTTGAATCGATGCTCTATTAGTTTAAAGATATTGTTGTTACTATCCATCCAAAAAATATAATGTAGTCGGTTGTTTTTTGAATAACTCAGAAACAATAAACGACAGAGACATGCGGATTTTAGCAATCAAGAAATGACAGTTTAAGTTATATTATCACAAACAAAATCGTCTTTCAAGACATCCCGAAGATCGATTTTGTGTAAGACCAGCTTGGATTTCTAGAAACCAACGTAGTAATCTAGCGTTCTTTCTTCGCAGATAGATAGTTCAAAATGTCCGACTTCATGTTAAATTCCTACTCGTAACGAGATGAACAAGTCTTCCGTGCATCTACTTTTGGCTGTTTCGAACTCGTACGAGTTTAAAAACATGTTACGATTTCAAAATTGTTTTATGTTCTAATATAGTATAGGGGAGGCTGGGGAGACTGTTTTGAACTCGTACGAGTTCAAAATAGCTTCCCAGTTTAAAAGAAGACGTTAGTATTTTTCACACGTTCAGCTAACAATCTATGAAATAAATCCGACCGGTTTCTATTTGAGCTTTTTGGGTTATGAGCAGGTGTTCCAAAGATCTTCCAGAAAACGATGCTGAAAGAGCGATTTTGGCAATCGTTCTGCTTGTTGAAAGATTTCTTTCGAATGGGAGAAATCGTGAGGATCTAGCTCTTTTCATTCTCGGGAAATTTGAAAAGCATTTTCTAGCATTCGTTTTTGAGAAGGATAATAGTTCGCTGTCTAGCAGAAAACCGTTCTTTTGACATTTTTAATCTTCCATACTTATTCAGGTGTTTCCAAAAATTAAAGGACCTTGCCGGTTCCAAAAGTATGTCAGAAAGCTATATATCAGGTATGCAGAAGTATGCAGAAAGCTATATATCAGGTTTTGTAGAGCTTCTCACGACGGATATAAATCTGTATTGGGTTTGGGTAAATACCTTCTGATTACCGAGATATGGGCGTCACCATGTTCTTGGTCTTTAATCGGTATTGATGAAAGAGGAAGAGTCGAGATTTGGTAATGTAGTACAATGAGATGTTGCCTTACCCATATTCTTGTAAAGCAATGAAAACTGTACAAACTAGTTCGGTAATAGCAAACAGAGGCTAGTTCTTCTAGGAAAAATGGGTCATACCATATCACATGCGCGCAGTAAAATAACTGTGGAACCAAAACGATATGCAGAAACAAATTCTAATTTTGTCGAAAACTGTATGAGTATGAGCTGTATCTGCCACGTTCACGTCGAGATCTGAAATTCATCTGCGTCTGTGGGGAAAAAAATCTATACTGAAAAAAGTATACCACAATAGGATATATTTCGGACTTAAACTTGGTTTTTTCTGGTCTGATTTACTTATCAACCTTTTTTAACGCCATATTCGTAATCTACGAACAAAATTGAGTCGGACGGAGTATTATACATATGGTCAAAACACAAAAAAGCTTTTTGAGAACAAGAAACCCTAAGGAGGATTTTGACGGAGCCTGTCTCTCGAAAAACACACATTTACCGACCGAGTTACATGTAGTTTTATAGAGTGTTGAATTCTGAACAAAACGCACCTCATTAGAAAAATTGGTGCTTGCTCCGCACTGAAACGAATTGGATAAAAATTGGGCGCTAAATGCAAAATTTGTCGGTGAATCCGACAGGGGGTTCCTTATAATTACATCTTCACTTCTTTTTTGGCGTCGACATAATCAACGTGGTTTTTACCTAAATTTTATTTTGCTCATTACAATC